CGTTCGTGTTTGTCAATTCACTGAATAAGGGTACAAGAAGAACGGGCAGACACTACGCTCACAGCGTATTTGTTGATCATATCTCAATGTACAAAATGAATATGAAGAAAGATGAAATACAAGAACATGGAGGTCATCAGCGTTCCTTTGGTGCCAACACATGAATAACGGTGTTACTATAATTTATTTCATATATTAACTTTTTACAGTTTTGTGATTATGGGAATATTCATGCAGAAACAAAACACCGGGGGGAAAAAACCTCAATGTTAAAAAACACATCGGTTTTAATATATCGATGTTTAAAACATCTGTCTACAAAAACATCGACATTGATATCACATCCCTAGTACGAAATGCCTAGAGGTAACTTAAGTATTCCGGCTATCTTATTGTCTCGGGGAAAACTTTTTAAGGCGTTGCTTTTGTGTGTATGCACCTCCTGTGTCCATTCAGAACCACTATTGTTAATGCATTACCTAATGTGCATGCAATTCACTTCTAGATGTCGAAACTGCATGAAGAACGAAAAGTTAGAAAAACTTTTCCGTCTATTATTGCGCTACCATTATTCGAAGAAGCTTATTTACATGGAATCCCATGAAACACTGTTTTTATAATATACTCAATCGAAGAAAACGTTTCTTAAAAACAGAACACTAACAGCATTGCTGTCGATCAGTACAAATTATTTTAATTTTTATTATTATATATTTAAATATTACCATTATTATAATTATTATTATTATTATATTATTTAAATTATGTTTTTATTTACATAGACAACAATCATTATTTTATTTTGGCAATTATTTAAATCGTTTTCTTGAGAAGGTTCGTAATTGTTGCACTTCGTGATTTAAATTCGGCACACAGAACCGCGAAAGGAAACAATCTCTGCATGTGCCGGGGGCGCAGGTGAGTCACGATTCAAGTCAGATGGCGCAATGGAATACGGAATGCGGAAGGAAGACACTGGCTGACGGAAAGGAAAAAGATAACGAATTCTAAAGTGAATTAAAACAGACGAATAGAGAATAGAAGAAAAGGAGGTATGGAGCTAAGAACAAGATGCTCGGAAGGACTACGAGGAGGAGCAAAGTATCGCATGAGAAAGAGAATTGGAAATTAGAATAAAGAATAAGAAATGGGACAAAACAAGTACAGATAGGGAAGAGAGCACGTAAGAGCAAAAATTGATAACACAAAAATCCTTCAATATGTCAATGTCTCTGTTCACCCCTCTAACATGCTAGGAAAAGAATGAAAACATTGTCGTGTGCGGCTACAATCAAACAGCGCATTCAATACAAGCACTTGACTAATAATATGTAAATAACGTTAGTACGATAGTTGTCTTACATTCAACATACAGTTATGTATGCCACAACAAAAATAAATTTATACATATACACGATTTTGAGTTCATCAAAATCAGTATTTTTTCCAAAAACTATTAGTTCCTCCGTCAGACCGACCGATCGTCTGGTCTTCAGCCACTCCGTTCCTTCGTCAGCCAGATCCTTCCTACGTGAACCAGTCTTTCCCTTCTGCCACCCCCTACGCGAGCCATTATTTCCTTGCTATCAGTGTCTCTTCGACAGACCGTCCCGTCGTCAATAAGTCGGTCGTCACCCAGGCAACTGTCTGTTCGTCCGCTCGTCGGTCGTCCACCTTTCGTCTGTAACCCGTCCGTTTATTTGGTCGCCCGCCCGTCAATCAGACCATCCATCAGGCAGACCGTCATTGAGTCATCTGACAGACCGTTCGCTCGTCAGTCAGTCCGTTTGTCAGTCAGTTCCATATTTTGAAAATTTTTAACAAAGCAAAGTTCGCCCGAAACTGTAATTATTTCGAGAACTGTTAACTGTTGTAATTTCTAACCCACCTACTAAACAAACGAACATAATAAAATCACAAGGGGAACTGAGATACCCGCTTAACAAGGGCAAGTAACTATAATTACACACATTTACCTTGATTTCTTTGAAGGGCATTTACCAACGATCATCATGCGATCAAGCCATTTTATTTAAAAGTAAAACACGCGAATGAAATAATTGCGTATCTAAGATATAAAAAGAATATCAAATGTCTATAAATAAATGTATTTAACCTTCAGGGATTAAACTAGGTTTTTTCCATTTTCTATCTTTTAAACATTCTATTTCGAATGTTAGTGAGGATCGAAGTCTTTTTTTAAGCAAACATATCAACGAGCGGATATATATA